TATCGTTATTTTGACTTTATTTTTGACTTTAGCGGAAAAGTCATTATGAACTTTTTTGTTTAAAATTTGATGCTTTAACAGAAAAAAATATAATATACAGGGGTTTCCATTTAAAAAAATGTTATTTTACTGAAAAAAATCAAAATAACGACTCTCAATTGTTTTTTTTTATTTCTCATTTTTACCAGCATTAAAAATGCTACTAGTTTGCTAATTCAAACAACTTTGTATTTTCACTAATAACAAAGTTACTAATGGTGGACACTTAATTTGGATAACCCTGTATATACATATATATATATATATATATATATATATATAGGTGTAAAATTAAAGCTTCCGCCTTTTGTTGGGTACTTCGATAAAATTTAAGCAAAGAGGACTCTTTATACTTTTTTTAATTCTCTCTAGCTTTCAATGGACTTTTCCATCATCATCAGGAGCTGTAATTACAATGATAACAGTAGCAACAAAAGTGTAAAATGAATTTAAATTGAATCAACTTACAGTAGTATGTGAGGATGTTGCTAATTGTTGTTTTCGTATAGGATGAGGGAAACGTCCAGTAACATGGTGAGAGCTGGATACATGGTACAATGGTTAAAATTATATAAAATATGACAAGACAAGTTAAAGACAGATTAAACATTATTTAGAAAACATTAGAGCATTATGTCGTGAAGCCACTTGATGATTGCACAAAATGGTGGTCATGGAAGAATGAGTGAGATGAACCTTTGACAGAAGGCCGAAGGTTGTCAATGTCTGTGTTGAAAGATGGAACGAATTGTGGGCGTGTGCCAAAACGTTGCCAAATCACTTCAGATGATGTGATTTTCAGAATGTTATGTAAGAAATTGTTAAACCGACCAGAGGCAGTTGAATAAACTATATTTTAATTAATGGGAATTTTAAATTAACAATTATTAATAAATCGTGAGAAGAGAATTAATAATTGTTAATTAAAAATTCCCATTAATTAAAATATAGTTTATTCTACTGCCTCTGGTCGGTTTAACAATAACTTACATAACATTCTGAAAATCACATCATCTGAAGTGATTTGGCAACGTTTTGGCACACACCCACAATTCGTTCCATCTTTCAACACAGACATTGACAACCTTCGGCCTTCTGTCAAAGGTTCATCTCACTGATTATTCCATGACCACCATTTTGTGCAATCATCAAGTGGCTTCACGACGTAATACTCTAATGTTTTCTAAATAATTTTTAATCTGTCTTTAACTTGTCTTGTCATATTTTATATAATTTTAACCATTGTACCATGTATCCAGCTCTCACCATGTTACTGGACGTTTCCCTCATCCTATACGAAAACAAATTTTTCACCTAACTGGTCTAGACGACAATAACCACGTCTCAAGTTATATATATATATATATGTGTGTGTGCGTGTGTGTGTGTTTTGTGTGTGTGTGTGCTCCCCTGTACTGTGTTGTCACTTTGCTGGGCAGTCGCTACTGTTGGTAGGGTGGTAGACTATACCGCAATGTTGTCAAATCTGTGGAGGCTATTTCATCTTTTAATTCCTTTGTTATACATGTTCTTTGCCAACCTTTTTCTAAGCGGAACTAACTTCTGTCGAAAATAATCCTTTATGAATTGAGCGTTATGTGGGAAGTGCAGAGTCAACCTATTTGGCGATATCTTGGATATCTGGATGGATGCTACTGGAAAGAACGTTTTGAGAGATTTTTCCGCACTTTTCCTCTCGAGAAGCACTCGGGTTGAAACTCTTCTATCAGTGTTCAGGGAACGAGGAGTAGCATCGCTAAGAGAAAGTGGGCGTGGTTCTTTCCCTGGGTTGTTGACATTGGTCAAACAGGTATGTGAATACATCTACTTTCGGCGAAATAATAGGTTCAAGGGTTTTTCGTATCATTAGACGTTCTATCACAAAGTTAGCTTCGTCTTTAGAGCGGCGACTATTAGCCGACGGCGTAACTTCCGCACTATTATTTTCGACGTCAATTGGCGAGGAAGTAGGTATTGTAATCGCCAAAAATTCCGAAAATGAGATATTATGTTTTTTGGATGTTTTGAGACATGTACTTCACGAAAAAAAGTCAGGCTTTTAAAAAAGTCAGGCTGTCCGCTAATCCCTGACCCATCGGTAAACTTTGGTTGTTGCTGCTATGCCAAGGACAAGAAAGCTTTGGAGTTTTTGACAATCAGTCTAGTCGCGGCGGAGCTAGGGGCCAAACACAAAAAAATAAAAGTCGCTTATACTTTTTTTGACGTGCCAAAAGCGCCTTGTCATTTTTAGAAACAAAAAATTGTTGGGGTTACGCTTGGGGCAGATGAGGGTATATCTCAATATTTTGAAGTTAATATATTTATCCGCCCAGAACTCCGCTAATAATATGCACCTATAGGACATATTTCACACATCGTAGATTTCCCGTATATTTTCTCTTGAAACAATGATAGAGAAATGTTTTCGTTACGCGCGTCTGCGTCTCCTCCTGCGGGAGGAATGACGTTGCCAGGGCAGGGAAAGACTGATTGCATGGGCTGCTTGACTGATGTAATGCATTTAATTTCTCTCTTGTACCGTAACTCACCTTTTTCTTAGAATGTTTAAGTTATGCTGAACATAATCTTTTATGAAGTGATAACGGTTTAGCGTGGGATGTGCATAGCCAACCTACTTACCGCCATTTTTGCTCCCGATAATGGCACCAGGAGTGATTCTTGTATCAATATTCAGGCCTACAGTTGTAAGGTAAGAGAACCACGCCCACTTTCTCTTAGTTACTCTACTTCATCGTTTCAAGGATTGAGCTTTGGAAATGAATCGTAAGATTCCTACGACCATGGCGGGACGTCATCAATGTCTTGCTTTGACGTATGATCAACAACACCTTCATTGTATGCGTATGTGTGCGCAACAGTCAAAGCGGGCAACGTTAATTAGAATTTACTATTAACACATTTTGTTAAACATTCTCTGGCCGTTGAGCGAGCAGCCCGAGGAAAAAAGATCCGTTTTATGCGTAGTTGACATAGACGTCGCTTAGGGGTTTTACACAACAATGAAATTACGGAATATTTCACTTCTAACATAACTGTCAGCCATTCTGGTGGATGAGCCTATTGTTTGGCTCGAACAGTGCTGCAATAGAGAACATATACATTAAGATCTGTTTGTTTTCAATCTGCTGAAGATCCACGGATCTGCTGACTTTCGATGTCTTCAAATCTGTGTTGAGATCGTAGGTTTTGTGAGGTTTGAAATTTAATTGAGATCCACTAACCACAAACATTTTTTGATATAAAACGAGTTCATGAGGACCTTTTACATCCTAACATATTTTTCCAAGCAAAGGATGCAAGCAGGGAAACGGTGACGAGTGTCATACAAAAACCGGTAGGTCTGCCGGTATTTGTCAGATTCTTCTCCAAAGTTGATGATTTGTTCCCTAGATGTATTTTATTCCAAAATACCACTGACAGCCTGTCGATGATCATCATTAACCATTCAGGAACCGCTTATCATACAATTTTAGTGTCAAGACTGCCGGAAAGCTCTTTTAAGACTTTCAGCATGTCACTTTGGAGTATTTCAATAGCTCATAGCTATTGAATGAAATAAAAATTTATACAATAACTTTATGAGTATTTATGTCGAGTAGAGTATGCATTTCGTGCCTTCAGTGATACTTTCAAAGAATCTTTCTAAAATACAGCTCAATAACTATATTTCAAGCACAATGTTTGACAATATCGCTACTTCTGGTCTGCATGCCTTTACCTTGTATTCTCTCGCTATCCGATAATAGTTTAGGTCAAGTTGATCAATATCAGTTTATCTCGAAAAGTTCTTGACCCCGAAGCTTATGCGGGATCAACTGATCTTATTAGAAGTTTGGTTTATAGTCACTGATCCTGTGTGGTGCGTTATCCTCCTAACTTAGGTTATCATTTGGTACGCTCTTATACGCATGCGCAGACTGGTCATGATTCCAGAAATATTTCTGGCCTGGAAGGTTGTTGCAACGATTTTGGAATAGTTTTTGGAACTATAAAGTGGCAGATAGCCCCCTCCTTACTACTCATCGCAATGAAAGCTGGACAGTATCAATAAACTACAGAGTGTCCAGTGGGAAAGTTCAATTTTTGATTTAAGAAAAAAAAAATACAAACTTGATGGAAAGAAAATATGTATTACCGCCAACATATTCGTAAATTTGGCGGGTTTTATTTCTTAAATATGTAGTATCGTTTTCAAAATTTTCGAATGGCAGCTGCGTATGAATCACCACTCTTAAAGTAAGCTTCGATAGCAAAAGCAAGCTGCGCCCCGGTCCAACGTTCCATTGTGACTATTTAACCTGCACGCCAAAGGCGTCGTTCAAGCCCCCTCCCCACTTCCTCGCGTATACGGTTGCCGCGTAATTCAAATTTGAAATATGAACTTTCCCACTGGACATCTTGTATCTTTAAATAAAGAATACACAGGCTATCAGAGCACGGTAACACCTTGTTTGGAGGTTAGAGGCAATCACCTGACAACTCTTCTGCGCAGGTCAGTTCCTTTAATTCCCCTTTCCATGCAGGTACCGAATTCACTGTAACTAAACCGTTCCGGAGCGGTCCCAAAATTGGTTGCAAGGGAATGCAGAACCGTCCCGTTCTTCGACGGACAGGAACAAAACTAATGTCGATATCTTGAGGGTCGTTAACGTTGAGATTGCTTGTCAACTCTTCTGAGGTACATACATATATACTGTATTTTAGTTGAGATCCATTGACACGGCTATGAAACTGGGTGGTATATCCATTAGTCTTGTGGAATATAATAATATATTCGAACAATAAATGTAGTGTTTGAGAACAGAGAATCACTCATTGAATGCATGGAAGAAATAGAAGAAAATTTCACTAATGAAACCGTTTGCAAGGCAGCTTGCGGTATTCGCAGTATGTTAAAAGATTCGGTTTTCGTGTTTTGGTTGACATTTTTTCATCATGTCATGCCTCACGTCGACATCTTGTTCAACCAGTTGCAGAAGAGAAAAACTGAGCCAAGACAAGTTAAAACGGCTAACGATAATTTTGAAAAATGTATTGTCGATGTGAGAAATAAAATTGATGAATTGATAAATGAAGCCAAAAGTATTTGCACTGAACCCCAAGGTAACAAAAGAAGAAGACGTAATAATAGCAGTCACGATCACAGAGTTGCCGCATTAGAAGTATGCGACAATATAGTGGATTCCTTCAAATGACAGATTTCAATTCAAAGATCATTTGGTAGCCGCATCCCTTTTTTTCCCCACTTTGGAGAATACTTATGTTTCCTGATGACAAGTTGGAAACTACCGGCTTGGCTTATCCCGAATTAGAACAAAGTCGTTTAAAGACATAGTTGTCTGTTATTTATGCACGGAATGATTGCCGAGATTTACATAGAACTCTGTCTCTTTTGAAATTTTTGATACAAAATAGTTAGGAAGAAACACTAAAAGAAACAAAAAAGCTATTAGAAATTATTGTTACAACTCCTACGTCAACATCAGAGGCTGAGCGAAATTTCTCAACACTGAAAAGAATCAAGACCTTTCTTCGAAATACTATGACTCAGGATCGCCTTACAGCGTTGTCGATGCTGTCCATTGAAAAGGAATTTATTTCGAACATTGAAAATTTCAACGGGAAGGCGATCGACAAATTTGCTGCTAAGAAGGAGCGCAGGATCGAACTGACATATAAAAAATAGGTAAGTTCGGATTTGCAGAACACCTGTTTTATTTTGCCACGAGCCGCCACTGCATCACGATAATGCTCTTTCTCACACAGCAATGTCAATGAACAAGTTTTTGGCCAGTAAAAATATTCCTGTGTCACCTCAGCCTCATTATTTGCCTAACTTTCTCTTCCCGAACTTGGAAAATCACCTCAAGGGAACATCTTTTGGGACAATCGAAAGCATTCAAACGGCTGTAACCGACCAGCTGAAGGCTATTCCAGTATCGGAGGTCCAGCACTGCGACGAGGAGTGGAAGAATCGTCTCTAGCGCTGTGTGACCTCAGAAGGAAGTTGTTTTGAGGGTGACAATATAAAATTGTAGTTATATTTGAAGAGAAAAATAAAAAAAAATAGTCTGATCTTTTAACCTCTTAAGATTCGTTGATCTCGAAAATCGCAAAGCACGAAACTCAAAGGAGATCCATTGTTCTCGTGACGTCGTTGATTTCGAAACTTCGTCTGTCATGGCATATACAAGGTACTACCGTACACAAAAGAGTATGTTGTGGATCCTAGCATTTCCTCAAGAAAGTATTTTCCACTTCAATGGTTTTGCCGTCCTTTTGTCATGTCCTCGATCAATCAGTGCGCATGCTTCAGGTCTCGTTACCTTTGAGCGAACAGAGACAATCGTCTGAGATGTGTCGGAGTTGTTTGTTTACGATCGGAGCGGTCATCAGTTAATTTGAGACATGTCCGGAGGCCCGTTGCGGATCAGAGTCGCGGAGCGCAATCGTCACCGCGACGTCCGTAAATCGCAACGAAAACAATCGAGGATCAACGCCGATCGTAAACGGCCTACTGGGAATTTTTAATTACGCTCTTTTTGCTTAGGCGGCTGTGGTCAAGCCTACCTGGATCGCTTTATGAGCGGCGATCACAGGCTCTCTGATGGGGTACTTGGAGGCACTTGAATTCAGTATCGCAAATATCCTGCTAACTAAAGTCTGGTGTACATTCACATCAAATCTTTCCCTCTGCCCTTTCTTGTGATTTGGGGAAACGTTGCGAACTCAGGCTAAAGAATGCGACGGCATTTTATTACAGACAAAATGACATACCCTAGTAAATGTTCCTTTGCTAGTACTAGAGTACTAGTAGTAAAAATAGAGGAAGACAGCTACACCTTTGGTCGTTGTTGACCTCAGATGCTAGGGCTAAAACTAATGATCGATTAGCACTAAAAATGGATGTCAAGCCTGCCAAACTGCCTCATGCTACTCTAAAACACACGGCACGCTTGTCTAGGAAGTAAAATGTCAGTCCGTTGTCTTCCCACGATTTGGAACATATTGAATTGCTGTGTTAACCTGTGGTGTACTATGATGATCCCAAGCAGAAGATTCAACGGCTATCCAACTTTTGTTAATTATCCGCAATGGCTTAAACACATTTTCCTCAATTCCATGTGCGCTCAATCATCCTGGAAGCCATTTATTGAAACGAGGGAGAATAGAGTAATTAGAAAGTTGGCGTAGTTCTCTTATCTTTCGTGAAACTGTTTCTTTGGAATTCCAATAGAATACATGTAGTCGCTCCGCGAATAATAGTCGGAAGAAAAAGCGGGGAAGTCTTGCTGTCGTACATCAGCCTCATCTCTAAAGACGAAGTTACCTTCGTGAAGAACCGTTTGTCGGAATGTCATATCATTCGCCAGGGAAGAAAAAAACTATGACTTTCTTTTAGTGATTCTACTCCCTATATTTCAAGAATAAGGGTCCTGGGCGGTATTAATACAGCTTCTGCTACGAGTAATTCCCAGCACCAGTTCACAACTAATGTAAAAACATCTCTCTTGGCATCTAGTCTTTCGGTGATCTGCTTTTTCGTTACCTGGTATAGCTCTGGGCCCAGGAACAGTGGGGTAGTTTGCTCCTGCGGCGACCCATATCAAAAATTGAAGGGGGGGGAGGCACCCAACTGTGTTGAATCCCAAATGGAGAGTAAAATTTGGAGAACAGATTTTTCCAAAGGAAACATAACTTTCTGTAAAAGTGTACCTTAAAACTTTTAATGAACGCGAGGTAGCGGAGTTTGTGCAGGGGTACTGTGAATGCGAAGATTTTAGAAGTTCAGATAAATGTTTCTTGTTTTGCGATGTCTACAACACGTAAATCCATGTGGGGTCATAGTAGGTAATGCTTTTTACTTTTGAAAATTGTTTAATTGCCAGAGGTATTATAAGTAAAAATTAAAATAGCTTTCAGACAATCCCAAAGTTTGTTTTTGTATGCTTTACTACTTTCTGAACATTTTCAAGGGTAATCAAACATCTGAGAAGAGGTATTGAAAAATTTCGAAAATTTGCTTTCATTGTTTCTGACTGCTTTATCTTAGTGCATATTTATTGAAATTATGGAGTATAAACATTTTGTTCCTTTAGCAAGACTCATCTTGATTCATGGAGAATTTGGAAATAGTTATAGGCTTGGAAAGAACCGAGTCAATCTACTTGCCATTGTTTTTTTTCCAAATTTGTTTCATCCATAGCGGAAGACGATTTTAGTATTTCAAATGTTTAGCCTGTATATAAATATTTTAATTACTTTTAAATTAGAAGAGCTTCTTTCAGCTGTTGCGGTTATAATCGAGAGGGTTAAACATAGGGAGCATGCTACTATCACCTACCCGTATACTCGAAGGATTAGCGCTTCATAATTTTTAATTTAGCGTACGGCGGCCTAACTTGCGTTAGGTTGTGAAAAACTCTTCAGGCATTTCTTTCATATGTGGGGCCCCCTGTAAGCTGGAGGCCCTGCATGATTGATACGGCTGATACGGCGGTAGCTACATCCCTTGCCCAGGCACCCATAACAGAGTCGTCTTCCACGAGACTTAGAGCCGTTTTACACACAAGAGAATTACTCCGAAAATTATGGTCATAATTATGCCGAAAATTTGCATGGAAAAAATATTGAAGATTTTCTCTAAAACCTGTATGACCTGCGCATTAGAGTAATATTTTCGAATGGACATAACCTTAACGGGTATGACGTCCAATATAATCGGAAAGACAACAGACGTCGTTGATTTAAATTTATTTTTGAAATCGAGATCTTGGTTAATATTATAAAATTTCTCAATGCTTGGACCATCGCATCCAGCGCCTGATGCCGCAAATTTCTGTTTTTGTAATTGAGTTACTTCACCTTGTACATGTTTGGAAATTTTTGGTACTCCTTCAACAACTTCTTCCCGATTCCACGACATTATGAATAAACAATAACAATAAACGCTTCTTCATACGACTCGAACAGGACCACACCCACAAATGTTAAGTGAGGTTATGTTGTTGACGTTGACATTTGGTATTGACATGCACGGAAATAACCCTCTGCGCCGATTCTCGCGCATATTCTATAGAACGGGTTTTATATTTTTACCGTGAAAATTTTCACAAGAATTCTTTTACGTGTAATACGACAGCAAAAATTTTCGGCATAATTATGACCATAATTTTCGGAGTAATTCTCTTGTGTGTAAAACGGCTCTTAGGCTTTAAATGGCTGTTCTGAACTCCAGGCTCAGAGACGATCTTGTGTTCGGAGGTACAAGGAGTACTTTCTTCCAAATCCTCTGCCAGGAGTAGCATGCTACCGAATGGGTTGTATCCGACTCTGCCACTGTAGGTCATTTGCACAAAATCTGAAGCACAGTATGTGTCTGACGTCTTCAGACATGCTCAGATTACTCATGTGACAATTGCAATGACTAGTGAATAGTCATACTAAAAGTTCAAAGTTCTTAATACTCATACCAATGAATTAGTACATTCTTAAATGTACCTGTTGTGTTTGAAGATTCACAGAATTGACTGGTATAGTCTGCGGTGCGAAAAAAGGCACCCTGGTGCACAATCACTGTTTTGAGGTTCCAGGAGACTGTAATAGCCATACTAATCAATGTTGCCGTAGTGTAAATGAAGCTCTTTTCCTAACAAACGCACTGTCTACAAAATAGAGACGGGCAATGCCAATAGGTTCTTTCGAAAAGGGTTCCGGCACCGCCTATGTTTTCGCAAGGTTCTTGCGACTGACAGTCATCACCGACGGCGCTGTGATTCCCATTCCTATGCCGTCTGGGCCTCGAAACGTAGTGGGAACCATAGAATCGCGCTTATTTGCTTGCAAATGTCCTCATCAACATCTTTTGCTCTGCTAAAGAGTCGAGCCAGGAGACTAACAGTCGCTAACATCATGCGAAATTAAAGAATATGTGATGTATAAGGATGACGGAAGAAATAGAATATGTATGTACTGTTGAGAAGAGACAATGGCTTGTGTATATTCTAGATTGGTCTTGGTCTTGAAATGCCAGACTATTCAATTGATAAAAGTAACGCTAATGGAAGAACCAGTAATACCCTCGTAAGATTCTAACTGTACAACGTAAATGTCAGAAATATTAATAGGTAATCAAAGATTAGACTATAATAATAATTAATCACAGAGTTACACAAAAATCGTGAGATATAAAGGA